TCCTTGCCACCTCCCCCTCCCCCAAGATTCTCACTCTCGGAATTGTATCTCAATTCACCCCTCCCGGCTCCTCCCTCCCAATCACTCGCCCAAGTAATGGCCCTCCCGAATCAATAGTCCCCTTTTGTTCTTCCCCCCTACTAATTGAATACTGATTATTTGCTTAGCTTTGACCCAAGAAGACCACCCCGAGATTCGATCCTTTGCCTTTCAGATGGCCCCGTCGCCCGTGTAATGGCCCGCACGTGTCGGTTTTAAAGGCCAACAATGCACGGACTGCCCATTGTCATGATTTTGCCGGGGACGAAAATTGGCCGGAACTGGTATGACTTCCGACTCTTGGACGTACGGCCGTTTAAGTTCTACGGTAGGATCTTCAGCAGCACATTTGTATCCGTCTGTTTCGGATTTTTTTTAATGAAAAAAAAAGAAAATCAATACAGCTACGACACGATAACTTGATAACCTTAATTCTTCAACACTGTAGGCATACAAAAGCTTTTAAAGTATTATTACGAATGCAAGTAACGACTAATGCCGAAAAATTTTGATACCAAAAGTATTTTTTTTAAACCCCTGTTTTAAAAAGTCTGGTTATTAAAATAAATCTTTGCTCACACAAAATATGATTGGCTGCCCTGCTTTAAATATTAACTAAGATTCTCTGAACCTGACTCCCCTCTGCGTTCGTCGGTGTAAGAGTTTATAATTTCATACACGGATCGTTGAATCATCTGTGAAATTTTTTAATTTAACCTTGCATTATTAATCACTTTCTTCTTTTGCCCTCGCCACACTCCTCGCAATGTAGTGACTAAAAAATTTATCGCTCGCGTGTTGGGGAATTTTTGCTTTAAATTAAATTACATCTTTATTGCCTATGAGTTTACTAGGCTATATTTTTTAAAACTGCACTTTTATTTATAGATTTATTTTTTTAGAACAGGAAAAAAATATTTTTATGAATTATGAAACAGCAGCCGAAACAACCCTGTAATTAGTCTAGAAACTGGAGAAATAATAACCGGTCTATTTTTTTTTTTAAATTTTATTTCAATTATGCGGCGTGATCTTTTCCTCCAATATGATGGTAACACGAAACCTCTGCTCAAACACGAGTGTGCACGGCTCCTCATCACGCGGGCTTTCTTGAGTTTGACCAACGGCGTGGCGTACTTGGTTTTCTATATTGCTTTTAATTATCGATTGTGTTTTTTTTTCTTTACTGTATGCCCACTGGTCGAAGTTTTGTTGACAGTAGCTGGAGATAAAAGCGTCAAGAAACGTGAGGATTTTGCCACGGATGCGACACCTCCTCTCCTCACATTCCACACACACATACACACGCAAAACACACACACACACCACGCACACATACACACACATACACACACAACACACACCACGCACACATACTAACACACAAGCACAACACACACACAATACACAAGCACAACACACACATACTCACACACACACAACACACACATACTCACACACACAAGCACACACACGCTCACTCCTAAGCGTATGTTTTTCTTACAACTTTTTGTATTTCCGCATGAAATCTTTTGACTTTCTTTGATGTTTTACGCCGACATAAACGGTCGTTAACCACCGACTTTGAAGCGTTTTAGTCGCATCGGTGATTCCATTTACTGAATGCACGCGCTTCTCACGTGGTCTGTCGGAGGGCACACCCCACCCACCCACTTTTCCCCACCCTCCTTGAACTTTGAACTTTTCCACTTTTTTATAACACCGCGGGAGTTGTAAAGACGTGTTCACAAAGTGTGCTCCGCGGTGCGCACATCAAGAGGCGTTCAGTATGCAGTGCGAAATTTCGCACGGACGCCATGTTGTACTTGAGTCTGACCAGGCGTTTATTTCTTTTTAATTTTTATTTCCTTACAGCGCGTCGGGCTTATATGTTACCTATTAAAAACACAGATATCGAATGCATTTAAAAGTACACAGCAATGTGTTGTGCACTGTTATTTTTGAGTCCGTTACGAAAAGTTTAGTATTGTATTTTTTATGTTACGAAAAGTTTAGTATTGTATCTTTTATGTAACGAAAAGTTTAGTATTGTATCTTTTATGTGACGAAAAGTTTAGTATTGTATCTTTTATGTTACGAAAAGTTTAGTATTGTATCTTTTATGTAACGAAAAGTTTAGTATTGTATCTTTTATGTGACGAAAAGTTTAGTATTGTATCTTTTATGTAACGAAAAGTTTAGTATTGTATCTTTTATGTGACGAAAAGTTTAGTATTGTATCTTTTATGTTACGAAAAGTTTAGTATTGTATCTTTTATGTAACGAAAAGTTTAGTATTGTATCTTTTATGTGACGAAAAGTTTAGTATTGTATCTTTTATGTGACGAGCTTTTATTCTTGTACTTTTAAATTATTTAAGAATGAACACGCGGCTTGTTCCCAAGCTTGTTTGCTCTTTGTCTTAATTTTCAAGTCCCCGTCAGCTGTTTTATGTCACCACGCTGGGTGGCCCCGCCTCGTTTGGGTGGCCGGGCCTCGGTTGGGTGGCCGACTCCCCTTTGACATCGATTAGGAGGGTCATAAATGGTTTCTGGGAACTGAGAAAGACTCCCAGCCCATCTGCCGTCGGTTGACTGATGAACGAATACAACCCCCCTCCCATACAACCCCCTCCCCTCCGGGTTCCACACCCCCGCCCCCTCCACCATTTCGTCCCCACCTTTTCAGTCTCAATTTGGAATTTTGACATCAATAAAAAAAAAACCGTTAACCTCCCCCCAACCCCCCACCCCACTGTCATTTAAGAAAGCAACACTCACATACATAGTGACAGATGCCGCTTCAAACACCCCGCACTCAACACACTCCATAAAAACCGACCCAGCCGCCCATGTTGTCCCTCTGAAACATATTGCATGGGGAAGTCCGCTTATGTTGGACGATGGTAGGTGATGAATAATTGCCCGAGTCAGATGTAAAGATAGATGTTACGTGCGACAAAGAATTACGAGGGAGGGGGAGAAAGGGAAGGGAACACACGTCACAAAACAACGTCACGGGACATGTCATACTTCTCAAACCTCAAGTCTTTATACTCCCCACTCCCCCGTCTCGCCCATGGTTCCCCCCCCCCTCCACCCCAGGCTCGGTCTGTGAAACCAGACCTCTATTATCGTCGGATGCTGGGGGCCCGCAGCGCCTGTCACCACTCAGTCCTGGACATGTTTCCAACAAGAATGACCTCCCGCTGGCCCCGTTTTACAGAGCCCAATTGGTACAAATACCTGCCTATTGTTACTTGTCATTTCGCTATTGTCACCTGTCCGCCTGAACGTACTCATTCCCCCGTGTCGGTCGGTCGTCAGGTTTTTTTTTAAGCCTTACAACCCGAGGACAAGGCGAGGTTAGATGGCCGTGGTCATTTAAAAAAAAAAATTAGTCACTGCTCCAGCATTGGACACAATAATTTATTATGTTAATTGAGACATGAATTACAATCATCGCAGTTAAAACGCCACACGAGAAGACTATAATTAGAATTTCTAATTAAAAAATTTTTTCGCGGCGTTAGAGAGGGCAATGGTCAATGGAAAATGAAGTGGCGTTTAACTCAGTATAATAACGTCGGTAATTAACATAGTCAAATAGTTTAAACACTTTTATGATTTGACCTGCTGTGGACGCTATATATATATATATATATATATATATATATATATATATATATATATATATATATATATATATATATATATATATAGGTTACGTTATATAAAAATTAGACGAACTACTCATATCAAATTACTTGATATTTGTCCGGTCTCAGCTCTTAACCCCACCCTGTTAAAATGTTTATCAAAGCAAAGCCAATAGCACTAGGACGAACCTCTACCCTAAACTGTTATTGTCCCTCTGAGCCAACATTATAAACCCCAAATCTTTGACCTAACCCGTGTTATCATTCTACTGATCCTCTATAATCGAACATCGTGTTTAACCTAATGTATGTTATGGTTATTTTAAACCTTAAGCACCAGCCCTAACAGTTGACACGAAGCATGGTACGGCTAAACGAATTGTGTAGTTATGTGTTAGAAACATTTAACCAGTTAAAATGTCTGTTATAATAATGTTTTAAATATATTTAAAAAAAAAAAAGCTAAACTTGCGATGAAGGGAAGCCATTTCACAGGGGAAGTAATCCATAAAAAACGTGTTCATCCCTGAACACCACATGCTTTTGCAACTAAGCGGACCTTACGCCGGATAATCTCCCCTGTGTGGAAGCGTGGAAATTATTAATTTACCGGGCTTCGGGTATTGTTTGTTCCGTTGTTTAGGGACGGGGTGGGGGGGGGGGGGGGGAAAGAACATTGAAAAATAAATAATTTTCAGGGCGAGTTTTTTTTTTTTGTTTAACCGACGACCGAACACGTGCGTCACTAATCTGCCAGTGACGTCATAAGAAGCGTGATTATGTTGTCAGGTTGCCGGTTGTATCGTCGTCTCTATCCTCGGCATTAACAGCGATACAACTCTCTCGCCTTCGTACAAACCTTTCCCCATCATTATGTCGTGCGGCATTCTAAACTACTACAAAGGAAAAAAAAAGTTTTTATATATTAGCTGTACTACCGTAAGCTACTTGCTAGTACTGTGAATAATTCCACTAGGTCTTGGTTAAAGTTAGGTTTAATTAATAGGTGTATCATCTATTTTAACACGACCTTCATGCTACTTAAAAATTGTAAAATGTCCATAACGTTGATTAGCATTTTTTACTAACAACACTACTTTTATCTACTCAATAAGAATACCTACACATAGGCGCATGCAGTGTTTATATAAGTAGCGTAGGCAGGGTATATGCATACATCGATACACACACTTGTATATATGTATGTATGTACGTACGCATGTATATAATATACATTTTGATTTTATATTTTGTTTGCCCATGAACTTTCCTGTACCGTAAACTTAAATTTTCTCATCCACAGCTAACCGGTTTATCTCTCTCTCTCTTCGGATTATCATCTCAATCCACCAATGAGAGCCGAGCATGAAGCATGACGAGGTCATCTCCTTGGATACGACCTCTCGGGAGGGGGAGAAATGGCTTTATCTTACTTTGGATCTTACTAGCTGTGTGCTGCCTAGCTGAGGAAGGTAAGGCGCCCCATTAGTCTGCCTACCCCTATTCCCTTTGCCTTAAACTCTCCAAATCCCTATTTCTTTTGTCTCAAACTCTCCAAATCCCTATTTCTTTTGTCTCAAACTCTCCAAATCCCTATTTCTTTTGGCTCAAACTCTCCAAATCCCTATTTCTTTTGGCTCAAACTCTCCAAATCCCTATTTCTTTTGTCTCAAACTCTCCAAATCCCTATTTCTTTTGGCTCAAACTCTCCAAATCCCTATTTCTTTTGTCTCAAACTCTCCAAATCCCTATTTCTTTTGGCTCAAACTCTCCAAAATCCCTATTTCTTTTGGCTCAAACTCTCCAAATCCCTATTTCTTTTGTCTCAAACTCTCCAAATCCCTATTTCTTTTGGCTCAAACTCTCCAAATCCCTATTTCTTTTTACTCAAACTCTTCAAATCCCTATTTCTTTTGGCTCAAACTCTCCAAATATCCATTCCCAAGCCTTAAACTCTCCAAATCCTATACTTATGCCATTAGTCTTTTATGCCCTTACTTGATGATGCCCATAGTTGACCTAATTCTTCATAGCTTTACTTACCATTGTCATTTCCTTGTCAATACCAGTCACTTTGCTATGCCCTTTGACCTCCAAGCCTCTGCATATGCCCGCCCTTTACTTATCCTTAAAATAACTTCATTTCCTTATTCGTGTCGTCGTACATCCAATTTATTTTTCCTCTTTGTATCAATGTTATTCAAATAAATCTGCCCTCTATTTGCCTGGTCCCATCAAATATCTCTGCCCCGCTATTCGCTTTTCTTCACTGCCCACTGTTTGGTGCACCATGATGTGCATACACAATGTCACCTTCACCCAGCGCCATCTACGCACTCGCACCCCTTGCGTGGATGTCGTGCGTGATCGCCTACATATGCATCTTCCCTCCTGTATTAATGAATAATCTCCCCTCATAATTCTGCGACGACTGAATAAAATTTGTCTCCCCTGAAATCCACTTGTACGATATTCGGCCACTTAACCACCAATATAACCGGGCCGCCCGGTCTTCCAACATACCCTAATGAAATACATGGCGTCCATCTTTTCTCACAACACACACACACTCCACGCACACACACCTCACACACACTCCTCATACACACTCCACACTCACATTCTCTCTCTCACACACACAAACACACGCACATGATAAAAAATCCAGTCACTTAAAAATGTATTTCCCTCAAAATTCAATTACAATATCATCTTAAGTTGGGCTCTAAGATTGCCAAAAAAGTTTTAGTGTTTTAGTTAAGCCAGTGGGTTCTTTAAAAAAAGAAAAACACTATCCCGGCATTCTCCCAATCTCATGACTCACTACCACTCAGACTACTCGTCCATCTCTCGCCTATAATACTTTATTGGTCTAATGAAAACCAGCATGGCGGCATAAACTAATCAATTTAAACCTCCCCCCTCCACCACAATCCCCCCTTTCCTCCTTGCATAATCTCACAGTAAAATAGTCGGGTGATTCACATTCGGGTTAAATCAACTAATATTGGATGTATACCCCTCCCTTCCTCCCACTCCACACCCTTAAAAGTGAGAAAAAACCACCAAGACGAGTGACATTAAAAAAAAAACCAAAGTGAATTCAGCAAATATCGGTATATTTTTCCCCCCAAACAAGACTCATAAAAATCTCATTATCGGTTAATTTAAAACCAATAGAAGAAATCACAGTCGGCCCAAACACTCTCCATCTTGCTTGTCATATAGTTCGTTTTCAACCCCACCCCTCTCCCCCTCTCAGATAATAGTTCTCGCCCTCGCGACAAGCTCCTGATGGCAAATTTACATACAAGACTGCATTGATCAGTTTGACCTCTGAATGTTGACATTATTCCAACAGGCAACCCCCGTGTTGACTGAAAGTTAACAATGGCGGCGTGTTAACATTGGTTAACATTCTTACCATCTCGCAGACTCTCTATTTTAATGCTAATTTAACCGCCCTCGATTGTTTCCTCGACAATGGAGTATTTACTCTTGAAAGATTCACCCGAAAACCCACGGTTGAAAAAACTCGCGCATAAATTAATGACAGCATTGATTCAAATAATATTGGCAGAAAGCAAATACTTCACATATTAACGGTGATGGTGCCTGCTGGCCATAGTAGATTAACGTTTCCTCTTTAAATGGTTCGCGACCCCATTTAAAAGCTGATTTCAATCTAGGTTCAAGGGATTATTGGAAAGTGGGAGCTAGATGCCAGTTGTGTTAATTGACAGACATTCTGGAACTTTCTATTTACATTATATTTGCATTTAGTTATGTTTTTTTTAGATGGGATGGTGATTGATCTAAAAATTAAATTTATAAAAAAAAATATAAATGTTTGGTAATTTATAACCTCCAATACTGATTATAAATTTCGAGTCTTTTTATAAAGGGGTCCAAACCCCACCCCTCAAGTTCCATCCCCCACCCCCACTACTCATCACCATGCACATCCCGCCTCACATGGCGAACGTTCAGGAGCTCATAATTTTAATTTTATTTCATTAAGCAGGCCGGACCATCAAATAATCTTTAATGCCAGTGATATTTTATAACAATTTCTGTGTAAATAAATATTTCTTTAAAACATTCGAAATCCTCATTCACTCACCCCCCCCCCCCCCCCCCCCCACCTCCCGTTTATAAGGAGGAAACGATTAAATTTATGACAAACGGTGTAAATTTAATTGTCGGGAGGGAACGCGTGTTTTGGTGCTCAAATTTCTATTCCCATTCAGTTCTTGCCCTCCCCACCTCCTCGTGTCAATATTTGAGCTGAGCACACACCCGGCAACATGTTTGTTGCGTCAATTTGATCTCGGGTTTTGAAAGGCGACTCGTGCACGCGCGCCCTCTTTATTCGGGTGAAAAATTTCTCAACCTGTGACCTGCAGGATGATTTTACCCCTCGTTTTAATCCCCCCCCCTCCTCTGTACATCATGTATTCATTCCTCGGAACTTGCTTTGGTAATAATCCTTCATTAGTTCTCATCAGATTAATTTCTTTATCTCCCTTTGAGTTGTTAATCGAGTAACGTCCCTTTGTGGCCTTGATCTTTCCAGTTTTGCAGACATGACAAAGACAGGAATGGATTCGGGTGTCTTGACAATAATTGAGTTTACACCCTTTCACGCGTGGCCCAAAAATATTGTGTCGCCTTTGATGAAATATCTATATTCTAGCATCTATTTCCTTATATCCAAACATACACGGGAGATAATTCAATTATTATTGCATACTCGGTTGTATACACAGGGGCAGCTAATCCTGAGATCTAGTAAAGTCGTGTTGTCAAACAAGATGGCGCACTGCTGCATCTGATGTAGACTTTATTCTACTGATGCTTTATTTATTTTTTGTGTAAACTTTTAGATTATTCGTTCTTTCCTCCTTTTTAATCAGGAGATTGTAATTGCACGTTTCCTGCAGGTCATATTTTGGAATATAGGATTGTGGGTGGAGGGGAGGGGGGAGATGGGGTTTAAAAAAAATAAGGTAGTTTTATAAAGGTTATCTGCTCTAAACATAATCTTAAATAAGGTTGTTTTTTTTTAAAAATATGTGTCCCTATATGTTTTAAGCGTAGTGAGAGTATAGAATGAAGAGAATTCACATATATTAAAGTCTGAGGCCATCTTCGTTTAAAACCCTCGCTCCACATCTTCGTTTAAAACCCTCGCTCCACATCCTCCTTCCTTCTCTCTGTTTGAATTAGGTCGGAGACGAGACATGCCCATCGTACATTTCTTTTAATATGATAGGGGGAATAATTCCAGTGGTCGTTTTTATGATTATCTTCCCCGTGGAACGTGTTGGTTTGAGGGTAGCGGGGTGGAAGGAAAGGGGAGACTACTCTCGTGGCAGGTCGTATCTCAAGTGGGGCAGGGATAGCGGGTGATGGTTGTGTGAAGTGATCAAAGACCCAACCTTGCTTCAAAATCACGTGATTGTAATGACTACACATTATCCACAAACACAATAGGTAGATTCACTTAAATTGAAGATAATTAAATCAAACACAATTTTAATAAAATTGTGTTTGATTTTATTATCTTTTGAAGAATGTTGTTGAATACCATACTAAAGGATTTTGTCTCCTTCCATGTCCGACATCACCTTGGTTGTAAAACATACGTTCTTCTCTTGAATTAAAAAAAAAAACAAAAAAAAAAAACAAAAAAAAAACAACATAAGCATGACGTCATTGTAACCACAAATACCGAGCCAGCCTACGAGTGCTCTACAGCCATAAACCTAATGACTCCATGTTTCTCTTAGCTTGTTAAAATTGCTGAACGATAGACACAACTGAAACGCGTTTTGGCTGCTCTTCTAATTATAATTACGTATTCCTAAACGAAAACAAAAAACAATTGGCTTCGCTTGCCCCAAAAAAAAAAAAAAAAATGACTCGGCAAACAATATTAAGCTGCCGTGAGATGACGTGTTTACCTTACAATTTTCGTCCATTTCTATTGAGTTCCATCTACCTGGCGCTCCATCAGCGTTATCGTCATCAATTACTTCCAAAACCCAAAACACAATATCAAGTAGCAGCGCAACAGCAGGGTGTGATGGCAGCCATTTAAAAGTTGCCCCGGGCCCAACCCGCCTATCTGATTGGAACACATTTCACAGAATGGATGCAATTGATGCACTGATACAAAAACAACGACCGCAGCATCCATCGTTACAATGCGTTAACAAAGTACACCGGATAGCGTTTTGTTAATGCGCCAATTATAAAACTAGGGGAAATAATTGAATTATTTTGTCGCGTTTTGTTTTTTTACTGTTGGAAATTGTATGAGAGGAATGTAATGTAGAATCAGAACCCGCTGTTGTGTTAAAATACATTAGGTTCACACACACACACACACACACACATATATATATATATTTCAGACAAAATCTACTTTACCTACTTTAAAAGACACTCTTGTCCGCAGTTCTTGTTT